TTCTACTCCTCCATTTCCTCTCCTCTACTCCTCTTCTTGTGCTCTTATTGTGGCAGCTCCCTCTCCCCTACCCTCATGCTCTCAATTAGCTCAGGAGTTCGTGCCACTTCCCATTCCTGGGGTCCATTTATCCCTTAGAGTCCTTCATGTTTCCTAGTTTCTTTGGTGAAGAGGATTATAGGCTGGTAATCCTTTGCTCTATGTCTAAAATTCATATATGAGTGAGTAATACCATGTTTGTCTTTTTGTGACTGGGTTACCTCACTCAGGATGGTTTCTTCTAGTTCCATCCATTTGCCAGCGAATTTCAAGATTCCATTGCTTTTTTTTCTGCTGAGTAGTACTCCATTGTATAAATGTACCACATTTTCTCAATCCATTCTTCAGTTGAGGGTCATCTAGGTTGCTTCCAGGTTCTGGCTATTACAAACAATGCTGCTATGAACATGGTTGAACATATATTCTTGTTGTCCCAAGAGTTCTTACTGGTGATACAGTAAGCCATGCCCTTTACCCTCTTCAAAAATAAATGGTTCGGGTTCACCCAAATCTGTTCTGATTTGTGGCACCACCAAGGACTTGAAGGATGTAGGCAATTGTCATATCATCTCAGTTATTCTAACTGAGAGAGATGAAGAAAGTAACCCAGACATGCTGGCAGCACATTTGCAAGACAAACATGTGGGGAATCAATCCTATGCAAAATCAGGATCTTCTATGTTCTGAGGCATACTCAAATAATGCTTGCGGGGTACAACTGATACAGCCCAGTAAGAACTGCTAACAATAGGTGGGAGGAGCCCACAAGGAGTTGGCCTACTAGAAACTGCTGACAACATGAACATGATATCCTATATTTTGAGACAGAGTCTCGTTGAGTTGTCCAGGCAGACCATGAATTTTCAGTCTTCTTCCCTCACCCTTTCCAAGTAGCTGGAATTATGTCTGAGCCATCAGGCCTGGCCACACAGCTTTTATTAGGTTTCTGTTGTTACAAAAGAAACGAGCACAAATTCAGCACCTTACAAGAACATGAATGTGTTGATGGGCAGTTCTGTAGGTCAGATACCATAGCAAGATTGATTACTTCTTCTGCCTAAAGGCTCATAAAATCAGTGTCAAGCTATAACCATGACGTTGACTAACTGCATATTCAGTATTCTGCTTGACTTGAGGTGTCAAGTTGACTAGCTTAAAGACCACTCAGAATAGCCAAGCATGAGCTATTCTCAGGGCTTCAGCAAGCACTAAAGCCACCCCCCCCTTGCTGAAAGGGAAATCCAGGTGGTTTGACATTCTATTTGGGTTTTGTTTTGAGACAAGGTCTCACTATATGGTGCTGGCTGGCCTGGAGCTACATATGTAGATAAGGCCAGCCTCGAGGTGACAAAGATCCTCTTCTTCCTGCCTCCCAAGTGTTGGTGATATAGGAATTGAATATTGAAGATGCTCCAGGTATGTCTAAGAGGGTGTTTCTGGGGGAGACTGCCCCATCTATGGGTACAGGGAAGATTAGTGTGCTTGAGCATCGTCCACTTAGCTAGAAAGATGGATTGAACTAAAAAGGGGGAAAGTGGGGAGGTAATATGCTTCAGTGGGTAAAGATGCTTGACACTAAACCAGATGACCTGAGGGAGTTTGACCTTCAGAACTTGAATGGTTTAAGAAGACTGACTCTCTCTCTTGTCTCTCTCTCTTTCCCTCACTCCCTTCTTTCTGTCTCACTCACTCTCTTCTGTCTGTCTTTCTCTCTGTCTGTCTCCCGCACACATGCACTCGCTCCTCTCTTCTCCGCCCCCCCCCCCCCCCCCCCCTCTCACACCTCCACACACACACACCCCACAACACAAGAAAGCAGAAAGGTGAAGTACTTGTCTTCTGGAGCTAGGACAGCTCTCTTTACCTGCCTTTGGAAGTCACAACTTCATGTTTTCTGAGCACTGCAGACCAGGCTCACACCCACATTCTTCCAGCCAGTGTCTATGGTCCTTGACACGAGACTAAGAGGTATCCAATCAGCTCCCATGCTTTGCCCTAGATTCTGTGATGCCACCTTGTTGTGGGACTTTTCAACTTCCATGATCAAGTGACCCAAACCCCTTACTAAATCTCTTTTCACATGTCTCTCTGTATATCATTTTTTTTATTTCTGAAGAAAAGTGACTCAAGGTGTGGCATGCTGCTTTTCCCTTCACTTGGGTCATTAGACAGGTCTCATTTCTTAAGGCTTGTGGCTCTCACTTCTTTGCCGTTTCCCTTAAGGCAACGTTAAGGGAAATGTTAACCCTAGGTCCAAACAAACCCATACCTCCTTAAGTACACCCCCTTTCATTTCTAACATGTAATGCTGCATCCTGGTCGCACAGTGAGAGATGAAGGTTATTTATGTATAGGCATGTAGAAAATGATTTTATTCACTAGAATTGATGTCGGCATAGTCACTGCCAAATGTTCAATATGCCAGAGGTAGAGGCAAACCGTGAACCTTACATATGGCACTGTGTCCCAGAGTGATTAATGGGCTTCTGAGTGGCAGGCTGATAAGTTTGGCCTGCTTCCGTCAAAGGCAAGGTGGCTCTTTACACGCGACACTTATTCTAGATATTAACTTTCTTTTCTCCAGTATTTCTATTTAAAGTGTGGGGGTGGGGGAGACGTGTGGGTGCTCATGGAGGCCAGAAAAAGGGAGGGAGTAGGGTTCCATGGAGTTGGAATTGCAGGTGGTTGTAAGCCACCCTTGGTGTTGGGTTCCAAACTAGAGTCCTTGGGGAAGAGCAGCAAGTGCTATTTATTATCCAGCTTTCCAGTTCTGGATATGAATTTTAATTCCCATTCACTGCATTATGAGGAAATGATTTGTGGTCTTAGGAAGGTGATATTGACCAGCAAGATCTTCCACATTGCACCACTTCTAGACATGGAGCTCACAGAAAGGAAGCACAGCAATCAACACATGCTGCCACCTGTCACTGGTCTTCCTGCCATAAGCCTCACCTGGCCAGCTCAGTGTAACCATGGAGTTGGTTATCTTCTCATGTCACTTATAGTTCTGCCTTTGGAGGTCGGGTTGAAAGAACCCAGAAGGTGAAAGTTCCCTCCTAGCATCCAGTATATATAGTGATTTCTTCAATAACCTAGTTCATGTCCTCAGAAAACAGTGTGGGGTTTCTCTCAGTATTTATTCTTTTACTTGTTTTTCTGAGACAGGTTCTCACTATGGAGCCCAGGATGGCCTGCTACTTTATATACAGAATGGTCTCAAACTCCAGACAATCCTCCTGCCTCATTCTTCCAAGTTCTAAGATTACAAGCATGTGACATCATACCTGGCTTCAATATGTATCAGTTGTAAATTTTACTTAATTTTGGCTTTGCAGAATGATAGGCCATTACTTCAATATTTTCACCAAGGAAATTAAAAAAAAAACTTCACTGGATTCATGTGTGGTAGGGTATGACTGTAATTCCAGCACTTTGGAGGACTGAGACAGGCGAATTATTCATTTGAGACCAGCCTGAGTGATGTTAACATTTTAACATTTCAAGGCCAGCTTAGGCTACAAAGTGTGACGCTACCTGAAAAAGAAGAGGACAAAGAGAACAAGGAAGAGGACGAGGAGGAGGAGGAGCATCTTCACTGAAGTGGTACTTGTAAATGTCATCTGAAGATTTTGGAGGACCTAATCTATCATAGGCACAAATGTGTTACTGTAAACCATAGAGTGACGAAAACATTTATTGTTTTCAAATGAAACTGGATGTTTCTACACAAGGAGCCGAGGAGGACGGTGTGGAAGGTGTGGAGCTGAGGAGGACGGTGTGGAAGGTGTGGAGTCCTTCTTAGCACTCTTGTGCTTTGTGAGTAGAGATGATGGACATTTACAGCAGTCAGATTCACACGCGATATTCACTGGCCTTGATGTTCAGTAAAGAGGCATGGAGACGGCCCATAAAGCCAAGCACCATGACCTATTGAGGGGGACATCTCTGGGCAATGGGACTAGGAAATGGTTGGGAAACAAGACAATTCTAAATACCAGAGATTACACTTGTGGCCTGCTGCAAAATACAGACTTGTCATGATATTTACCTGATGAGACAATAACATCAACCAGCAGAGGCGGGAGAAAAAAATCAACAAACCAGCAAGAAGTTATTGCAAACAAAACACAAGGGACAAAAGCCCATTTATTTACTAAGCATAAGTTTAGAATAGTTTTCTTAAACAAAGTTAACTAAGCTAACACATGCTAGAAGACTTCAGCATCCTCCTACTACATTCTGGAATACATTCAACTATTTGTTACTATTTGTTGTATCATGCTGACCACAGAAATAACAGAATCACATGGGTGACAACATTTCTTCACGTTTCTTTTCAAGGCATTGAATTAAGTGGCGTCTTTTAAATCTGAAAATAAACATAAACATCATGTAAAAAAAATGATACCCAAAGAACCTGTGCAGTAGGAAGTGCTGTGCGACCCAAAGCAGGGGCTCAACCTCTGTGGGAATAGTCAGTACATTCCAGGTACCAGGCGCTCTAGACAATATGAAGGGTGTCTACTGAGGATCAGTGCCCAGCTCAAGACTACCCTGACAAAGGAGGGTTGAGTAGGCCCGGAAGGATGTGTCCAACGCGAGTGACATCAACCTAAATGTCTACACAACCAGCCTTAACTATAAAGTTGGGGCCAGGGACTGAGAAACTCCAAGCAGGTGCTGTTCTCCACCCCTCACCCAACCACTGTGTGAAGATGTATGGTCCCCCTGTCACCCACCTTCCCGCTTCCTTGATGGTAAACTCAAAAAACTGCTTCCGGACTTCCAGAGGTCCCTGTACTTCTTCAAGCAGCTTGAAAATCCTTTCATATTCTGGAGAGAATGTAAGCATACTTGAGTATTTCTCAGAAATGAAGAAACGGGACTGGATCTCTGGGGATCTGTGTGTACCTCAGTAATATGCTTTATGGTCAAGAATGCTAAACGGTGTGTATGTGTTCTAAATGCCTCTGCACAGAGATGGACACAATCCTTATGAGCAACGACCAAGCAACATTACAAATAAAAGATGGAGTCTCCTGAGATGTTTCAGTGAAGAGTGACTGTAGTCAATTATATAGAAAACCTCAGTTGTGGCAAAGGCTCTCTCCCCTGAGGCAGTTTCAGGTTATTCTAATCATACAACTGGAGAAGCTTCAGGGAAGCACCCTCCTGCATTAGATGGGAATTAATGCAGAGACCCACAAATGGACAATGTGCAGAGAGTGTGAGATTTTAAAGCTCTCAGTCCTAAATGTGAAATATTCATCAAAACCCTCCCTTCAAGGCTCAATGCTCTATGCAGAAGAGGAGGAAAAAAAGATTGAGAGCCAGAGGTTGTGGATGACTCCAAGCTAACAGTGTCTTCCAGAAACAACAGAACTGGTGTAAATCTGAACTCATGCATGAGACCCACACAGGTTCAAACCACACAACATCCCTATCTGGAGAGGGGTAAGAAGTCACAAAGTTCCACCCTTAACAAGGAAGGTATTTGTAGCTGGGCGTTGGTGGCACATGCCCTTAATCCCAGCACTCAGGAGGCAGAGGCAGACAGATCTCTGTGAGTTCGAGGCCAGCCTGGTCTCCAGAGCAAGTGCCAGGACAGCCTCCAAAGCTACACAGAGAAACCCTGTCTCGAAAAACAAAACAAAACAAAAAAACCAAAGAAGCTATTTGTAATTAATTCATTCTAGCAAGAAAATCTGTTCTCTCCAATCGAGTGTCACAGGGTATATCAATCACACACCAGGGAAGGGCCCATGTCCAGGAGTAGTTGGCAAACACAAAACAGCTTCAGTGATATTTTTACAGGCTTTTCGTTTTAGTTTTCTTTGTTTTGGACTTTTTTTCTTATTTTTGTTTGGGGGTTTCTGCTTATCATTTGAGAGAGAGAGACAGAGAGAGATACAGAGCAGAGAGAAAAGAATTTTAACAGGAAGATTAGAGATACTTTGCATCTGTTAGTAGTCATTGTCCCAGTACTTACTTCGTCCATAACGTCGAATTTCCTTCATTAGCTCACGTTTTATATCAGCATTAATTTTCTCACGGCTTACTAGGTACTCACTGGACACACCTTTGCCCTCGGTCAGTGCTGCAAAACTCTGAGCACCTAGAAGGTTCTCTCTGCTAACTATTCCTCCTGTAAATGTGGCCTCACCACCTTCAGGAATTAGCCCTGCACTGCTAAAACAAGCAGATTTGTCAAAAGGAGCATTCTTTGCTGGAACCCATTTTGGGGAGCCTTTGGTTGTGGTGGGACCACCTTCCACCATCCCCTCCTGGGCCTTTGGGCCGACGGTAGCACCTGGAAAGCAAAGAGAAAAGCTGAGCTGCGGAGTGGGCGAGTTCCCTGTGCTTCTTGGGGTCTAAAATGATTGCAAAGGAAGAGAGTATACCAGAGAGAAATCTCAGCCATGACAAACTGACCCCAGGACACAGTGTAATTTCTGGATTCATGAACACACACAAACTAGTTGGACAGGACAATGAAGAAATAAACATGTACAGGTCCCTGGTGTGTGTGGTTTAGTTTCACCTTGATGTATTTTAGAGGATGAAAATATCACGTAATATGAACATAGAATGTATTTCTAGGGGCTAGAGAGACAGCTCAGCAGTTAAGAGTGCTTATTGCTTTTGCAGAGACCACAAGTTTAGTTCCAGCATCCACAATGAGCAGCTCACAGACACCTGTAACTCCAGCTCCAAAGGATACGAGTCTGGCTTCCAAGATCACACACACACACACACACACACACACACACACACACACACATAAAATAACAAAAATATAAATCTTAAAACAGATATTGCTGGGAGGTGGTGTCAATGCCTTTAATTCCAGCACTCAGGGAACAGAAGGAGGCAGATCTTTGTGAGTTCAAGGCCACCCTGGACTACAAAGTGAGTCCCAGGACAGCCAGGATAGTCACACAGAGAAACCCTGTCTTGAAAAGCCGAAAAAAGAAAAAACAGTTTAAAAAACAAACAAAAACAACAAAAGAGGTATTACTACTCATTCACCCAAAATCCCAATCTATGAATGATTTCACTCCTCTTTCTCTTTATCTGAATTCTTTCCCCTCCTAGCTTGATGCACCTATGTCATTTACTCAACTCCTGCTGTGCCAGGCACCAGTCAGGATGTGGTAATATGAGCAGTGAAGTAGACGAACAAGATCTTCCTATGCCCTAACAGAACTCAGAGTGCCAGGAGGACATCAGAGAGGAACTACACTCAGTTAGCACAAATTCACAACTGTTTTTGTGTTGACGAAGTGAGCATGGATGTCTAAGGGAGAAGAGACGGAGCCCACAGGAGCACTGAGTGGTGGCAGGGCCTTTAAGAAGGGTCCACCAAGCAAAGCCTAAGGAGGAAACAGAGGTGACTTGTGCAGACATAGAGGCAGGGATTTGGGGACATGAACCTGGGGCCACAGAAAGTGTGACAAGGAGACCACTGTGACCTAAGAGAAGGAAGCAATGGTGGGATGAGTTATGCAGACTCTTGGAGATCAAAATCAGGAGTCTGGTTGTATTCTTGGGGCTAAGGAACACAGAGGATGGGTTTTCAGCATGGGTGTGGTATGGTCTCATTTCCCTGTCATTATCTTCATCCAAGCTGCAGAAGTAGAGATGATGACTAAGAAGTGGGCAACAAAGTTGGCCTTGGTGGCACACACACTCCTTTCATCCCAGCACTCAGGAGGCAGACGTAAGTGGATGTCTGTGAGTTTAAGACTACCCTGATCTACATAGCAAGTTCCAGGTCAGGCACAGTAAGACAAAGTGAGACCCTGTCCCAACAAAAACAAAAAAGTAATCGTTAGGGATGGAGAGATGGCTCAAAATTTGAGTGCTTGCACTCTTCCAAAGGAACTGAGTTCAGTTCCTGGTATCCATGTTGGGAAGCTCACAACTGCCTGTTATTCCAGTTCCAGGGGATCCAGTTTCCTCTTCTGGTCTCCACATTCACTGCCACAAACATGGGACGCACACATAAATAGAAAATTGAAAGGAAGTAGTGAACATTGGGAAAGACAAAGAGCAGAGAAGACAAATTGGTCCTTTGTGGTGGTCTGCTTCAGACAGTATTGCATGGTTAAGCAAGTGAGTAACAGAAAAGGGAGGAAAACTGTGGCAAAGAGTCACCAATAAGGAGCAGAAACACAAAGTAGATCATGGAAACCCTGGTAAATGGCAATAAATGAAGAAGTGAGCAGCTCCATCCAAATATACTCAGCATGGATGGTAATGCCATCTCAGACCACTGATGCTGTCCACAACAGTTTCTGCTGTGAAGGATACCGTGACAGGAGACCATACAAAGTACAGCACAAAGGAAAGATGAGGACAGGAAAGAAGACATGCAACCGGGTGCTGCTGAGCACGGGCCAGGGGATACAGCACCTCCACCCTCTGTTAGAGCTTATCTCCTCCACGTGCAGGAATCTGCTTTACAAAATCTGCATCATGAAGGACACAGCATCATTTTCACCTATGTTCCCTTCCACCTGCACACTCAACAGTATCTACCTGTTCTAGCCACGGGGGACCCAATTACCTTCTTCCTTTTCAATGACTGAGGCCGTAAGATGGGGCTCTCCCTCTTTTATCTCCACGGGCACACTGGTCACAATCCGCCTCACTTTGGGTAATGGAGGACCCACAGCATCTCCAGCAGGATTCTTTTCATTTTCTGAGCACACAGAAAACTCTTCGCCTTCTTCAGCCATTATCTTTGTGTAAAAAATATCAACAACTTAATTTCATCAACGACAAAATCCAACCACACAGCACTGCAGAAAGGAAATACAAAAGAGAAAAAAAAAGAGCAAAGCATCTGGGCTGGAGAGATGGTTACGTGGTTAAGAACACTAGCTGCTCTTTCAGAGACTTGAGTTTGAGTCCCAGCCATCCATATGGTGGCTCATAACTAACTGTCTGTACCTCCAGTTCCAGAGGATCTGATGCCCTCATCTGGCTTCTGCCAGCAACAGACACACAAATGGAGGACAAACATATATGCAAGCAAAATACCCAAATACATACAAAATAAAATAAAATAAAGCAAAGATTCTGGGGTAAGATTGCGTTGGGTTGAGAAGTTCCATCTGTGTGATTCCATAAGGCAAAAAGTCAGGAAAACACATCAACTCCAAAATGTGAAAAAACAAGGCTATGTGGTCCTTCCAAAAGCTTATGACTCCATGGTAAACAAAGTAAAAATAATCTAAAAGTTTTTGGTGTAGAAAAATCCAGAAGTTCGGTGTGTCAGATGATCTCTGAGCTCAAAGGGGTCACAAGAAATGGAAGAATGAAAGAAGTGAATTCATGAAATGGGTGAAAACTTTGCAATGAGCTAGAGATCCCTCTGGGAGTAGGGCTGGGGAAGCAAACAAATACCTTGTAAATGCAGTAGTTAATAAATCAAACAAAACATTTAACAAAGAGCATCTAGACAAAGCATAACAAAGAATTCCAGGAATTAAATACAAGAGTGAGAAATTACCGCACTCACATTGCAAAAACCAAATTAAAAACAGAGCAGTTATGCCCACTGAATTTAGGGAACACTGGGACATGCTCAAGACACCATTCCTGGCTGGAGAAATGGTTCAGCTATGAAAAGCACTTGCTCTTTCAGAGGACCATGGTTTGATTGCCAGCATGCACATACATGGTGGCCCACAGCCATCCAAACTCCAGCTCCAGGGGGAATCCAATGCTCTCTTCTGACCTCTGTGCAGGCACATACCTGATGCACATATATACATTCAGGCAAAACATTCACATACATAAAATAAATATTTTTAAAAAGAGAACAATCCTGTGAACTTTGGGCTTTAAAAAAAAGGAAGCAAGTTGTACTCTAAACACATAAACTCTATTCCATGAAAGTTCAGCAGAAAATTTCCCAAATCTTAGGAAAGATGTGGTCATGTAAGTACAGGAAGAAGTTGCAACCCCAATTAGACATGCCCAGAAAACCACCTCTCCATGTCATCTCATGGTTCTATGAGGACAAAGCTGAACAAAGAAAAAAATACTGAAACCTGAATGACCAAAACTCCAAGTTAGGTACAAAGACAAACCCTTGAACCAGAAGACTTCTGTAAAGAAACTCTAGGGCCAGGAGATCAAGTATTGATAAACTTAAAGCCTTGTTGGTTCTCTCCTTCCACCATGAGGGTCTCAGGAATCGAACTCAGGTCATCAGGCTGGGAGACAAGCATTGCTGCCTACTGACAGATCTCTCTGGACTATATTTAATATATATAGGCACTGTGCTTCGTGCCTTTAACCCCATTACTCAGGTGGCAAAGCAGAGTGAGCTGGTGGCCAGCCTGGTCTACAAAGTGAATTCCAGGACAGCCAAGGGGAGAGAGAGAGAGAGAGAGAGAGAGAGAGAGAGAGAGAGAGAGAGAGAGAGAGAGAGACCAAATTTACTACACCCTCATTTTTATCCTTAAAATCAGAAGAGAAATAAAGTCCTTCCGTAATAAAGATGAACTAAAAAGATTCATCATCACTAAGCTATCATCAATGGAGATAGTTAATAGAATATTACACACAGAAGGTAAGATTTGCAGCAGCATGAAAGCTTGGGAAAAAACAGAAGAAAGGTAAATGGGAATTCGGAAAGGGGCAAATATTTTTATTTTTACCTCAGTAAACCCAGAAAGTTTTAGGATGAATATAGGAGAAATTAATACATACCTTATAAATATCAATGGTCTTAACTCTCTACCTATAATATGCAGACTGGATGAAGGGATTAAAAATAAGACTCATATGTTTCCTGTCTCAAAGAACTTCACTGTCAAAGATAAACAAAAACAGTGAAAGTGTGGATTATTGCATTCTCAGGCAAACAGAATCTATGCAAAAGCAAGGGCGGCTATACTCATTATCTTTAAAAAATGTTATAAAAGTTATAAAAAGAGCCGGGCGTTGGTGGCGCACGACTTTAATCCCAGCACTCGGGAGTTCGAGGCCAGCCTGGTATCCAGAGCGAGTGCCAGGATAGGCTCCAAAGCTACACGGAGAAACCCTGTCTAGAAAAACCAAAAAAAAAAAAGTTATAAAAAGATAAAGAAGGTCACTGCATCTTAATAAAAAGAACAATCCATCAAAAAGATGTAACAACTATAAATACACACAGCAAATGTTGGGTCACCTGGTTTCATAGACCCAAAACTTCTGGACATGAACAGGTAGGTCCAGGATACAATAAAAGTGATTGTTTACAAAAAAAATGATTGTTTACAAAAGCAAATTCTCATCAATCCATAGATCCTCCAGACAAGAAAACCAATGGAGAAACTTTAGTGTGTAACTGTACCATGGCTCAAACCGGTCTTGTATCTACACAATAGCTAGGAAATGCATATTATTTTCAGCAACCCATGGAATGTACTATAAAGAGATCACATTTTCTGTCATTGAGTGCGTCTGAATAGGTACAGTCTTATGTTTTATCAGATAGTAGTGGTGGGAAATTAAAAGGCAAAGCAAAGGAAACAGCACAGTGAAGAGGGAGCACACAAGCTGGGCCCAGGGTTCATGCTTGTTAGAGCAGCACATGGGACCCAGACAGCAGGATGGCTGCTGCAAATTCAAGGTCAGCCTCCTCTACAGACGAGACCATGGCTCAGAAGCAAAGTGTAGTAAGACAAAAGACTGCATAACCAGGAAACGAGAAGTGTGTGTGTGTGGGGGGGGGGAGAGGTTAAATATCAAATACTTCACTTTTTGTTTTGGAGTGAGATAAAAAGATACATTGTAGAAAAACCATCTCTTAAAAACTGCCCTTTGGGGGGTGGGCACGGGGGCGGGGGGGAGGGGGAGAGTGGCGCACACCTTTAATCCCAGCACTCAGGTGGCAGAGGCAGGCAGATCTATGAGAGTTCAAGGCCAGCCTGGTCTACAGGGTGAGTTGCAGGACAGCCAGGGCTACACAGAGAAACCCTGTCCCGCCACCCCCCCAAAAAAAAAACAACAAAAAGAAACAAAAACTGCCCTTCTGGGATACAAAACCAAAAGTCTTTTATTTTGTAAAATTTCTTAAAGCAAAATTGTAAACTTTTATATCCGCAAGGCTTTTGTTAAGGAGTCCTCTAAGCATTCTAAGGGGAGTAAAATATTTTAGGCAAAGCCTGTCACAAACAGAAAAAAAAATGAGCCCATTCCTAAAACATTTTGTGACGCCAATAGAAAGCTGATGACAATCTACATAATATACATTAGAAGAAACAAAACTGTGAGGTATAAATCTCTCCTGATAATAAACATCTTAAATAAATGATTATCAAACAAAAACCAAAGGTGGGTGCAAACCACGCAGCATGTCACTGTACAGTTCAATGAAGAAAGGCAAGGCTGCTTTAACCCCAAACTACTTTAAGTGCAAGAAAGTGTCAGGAAAATAGCAAGTCATTCTAAAGACGCCTTAAAGTTCAAATCCTCTTCATGACTTGAAAGTAACTCAGAATACAAAACAACTGTTGTAACCTGTTAAGAAGTGTTTCTACAGAAGACCAAATACCCTGTTTTTCTGTTTCATATGACAGTCTACAGTTAGCACTATGTATACACAACAGGAGACAGCAGCAGGTCCTGTTGGGTGGAGGAAGTGCAGGAGCAGAGGCAGGAATAAGGAGAACAGAGGGAAGGAAACAGTGTGGCGAATCACAGGAAAGTGCAATAATGCATGAGGGATGCAATCTTGATGACACCTACTATTATAGCACAAGCCAATGTCACAAGTAACTAATAATGAAGTGCGTCTACAAAACAAGCAAAAAACTAATCGATGACAACATCAAATTCCATTTTAAAATACCAAGCATTTTCCCCCAAATTGCAAACAATGCACAGATGCATTCTCTCTATCCAACAATATGTTAAATGTTCTCATAATGTGGCAGATCCAGAGCAATTTGAAAACATGAAGGCTGGAAAAGAGTAAGTACAAGTGTCATTACCCACAGGTGACATTTCTATTTGGAGAGACCATTTAAAATGATGTAAAACCATTGCAGTTACTAAGTGACTATAGCCAAGTTTCTAGACCTAGGGACAAGAAGCAGAAGCCACCTATATTTCTGTAGTGGAAGCACAAACAAGTAGTAAATAAACTTCAAAGTATCAACAAAAGCATGCCCCAAACCTTGAATACCTATGAATATACTGGCAGATATTCTAATGCATTATATAGAAAGCATAAACCATTATTTAGAGAGATCGGAGATTATAGTAAATTGAAAAGAATAGTCTTTATATGAAGTAGAAGTCATGCTTTTAAAACTCATTAACATTAATTCCTTCTAGAAAGGTAATAACAATGTCATTCAAAATCCCACTGTGCTAATTGATTTTGAAAAATGGCAAGCTGGTAATGAGTATGGATGTGAAATTGCTTAGACTATCCAGTCTTTAAGTAAAACAACAAAGTTAGAAGAAACAGTCCTAGATAGGAGTGTAAAAAGTTTGCAGGGCTTGGGAGATAGCTGTCAGTCCAGTGTCTTAGATTTGACTCTCAGCACCCACATGAAGACGCTGTGTGCAGTGATGTTCACCTGTAATCCCAGCAGCAACAGGGAGGAAGAGACACTCAGAACAGATATTTGGGACTTGTTAGCCAACCAGACTAGTCTAATTGGTAAGTTCCAGGCCAATGAGAGATTCTATCTCAAAGGGGGTGGACAATGGCACTTGAGGCCTCAGGGCTTCCCTGGCATCCACACGCATGTGTATACACATGCACATACTCCCACATATAACCTACATACATTTAAAAACTCAGCTAAGTGAGACCATATGATATTGGAATAAAGATAGACAAACACGGCAGTGGGAGAGGGTATAGGATCTGGAAACAAGTATGGAAAGAAATTAACTAGATTTATAGCACCTATGCCAGCAAAGCATCCTGGAAAACAGGCTTCATTACTAAGTTCATTATCAAGAAGCTTCTCTGATGGGGGCCAAGTAAGGCATTGATCTACGGGTGCAACAAAATGTCAATGGAAGTCATTTTATTGCTATTTTCCCTTAGCTGAGTAGGAGTTCCTTTTAGCCCTCCATCACACTATCTATTACTTCCCCTTCTTTGACAGCCTCCCTTCCCCTCTGTTGCCTCGCTATGCCTAACCGCTGTGGTTATTCGGATTGTAGCATGCCTATCAAAAACTTTGAAGTCGGAGAAGCTTCTTTCAGCAGATGGGAAGTAACACAGAGACCCACGACGGAACAACATGCAGAGAGTGAGACTTTGCAGACTCAGTCTTAAGTGGGATGTCTCCACCAAACCCTCTGCCTCCCAAGGCTTCGGCATCTATGTGGAAGAAGACGCAGAAAGACTGTAAGAGCCAGAGGTTACACAGGACTCCAAGGAAACTGTCTTCCAGACGCAACAGGATTGGTACACATATGAACACACAGAGCCTGTGGCAGCACACACAGGATCTGCACATGTTCAAGTCAGACTGGGTCCCAGCACTGACAGGGGAAAGTGGACCTGGGATCACAGCCTAATCAAGAAGCTATTTGCAACTGATACTCTCTAGCAAAGGGACAATCAGTTTTCCTCAATGGAGTGCCCCTGGTTATATCAACCACACTTTAGGATAGGCCGCATGCCCAGAAATAGCTGGCCAACAAAAAATGAACTCCATAGTTGGGGAGGGGGCTTTTTGTTTTCATTTTTGTTGTTCTGGCTTTTTTATCTTATTTTTTTCTTTTTTGAGGGGGGAGAAAGAATCTGAATGGAGTTGGGCGATAGGAAAATAGAGTAAAAATACATTGTATGAAAACATCAATTAAAATATTAAGGAAAAATAAGTTCACATCATAAAGACAAAGAAAAATTATCTTTTGACTCCTACTTCATGGGAGACACGTAAGTATACTTAGGGTATTACATTTGTGGATATTTGGGCAGGCAAAGATTGCTTTTGCTCGTTTTTTTGTAGGTACTAGGGACCTAAACCAAGACCTCAAAAATGTTAGGCAAGCCTTGTACCTTGAGACACATCTTTGGTCTGTCCATTTATTATTGATTTATTGATTTATTGAGACAAGTCTCACTAAATTGCCCAGGCTGGCATGAAATTGCTAGGTAGTCCAGACAGGCCTTCAGGTTGCAATACTCCTCCTGGCCAACCTCTCGGGTAGCTAGGATTATAATCTTGTGCCAACAGGCAATCTTAACTAAGTTTTTTTTTTTTTTTAAGAATAAGACGACTGGCCACAAAGACTGCATTTTAAACCATTCAACTAAAAGACATTAGTTCCACAGTGTTATTACTGGGCATGGTGGCACATTCTCACAATCCGAGCATTGGAGAGGCTACGTCAGGAGGATGCAGTTTGAGGCCAGTTTGGTCTACCCAACAAGAACCCAACTTAAAAAGCAGAAAGTAGACAAAGTTAAAATTCTCTTCTTAGATATGTGTACATATGTCAATGCACATATGTCTAGAAAAATGAGTAGAACTGTCCAGATGTGGTAGTACACATCTGTACCTCCAGCACTTGAGAGGCTGGTGCAGGAGTGGAGTTCATAGTTAGCTTCAGCTATAAAGCAAATCTTTGACCAGCCTGAGGTTTATGAGAGCCTGTATCAAAATAACGACAACAGCAGCAGCAGCAACAACAAATGGGCAGATTTCAGGATACATGCAGAACCACAAACTAAATTTTCAAATACAGACATCCCACCAAAATTTGTGCAGGGAGCCAGAAACACAATGGTTGTCAGTCTCCCTAGTCTCAAAATAACGACAACAGCAGCAGCAGCAACAACAAATGGGCAGATTTCAGGATACATGCAGAACCACAAACTAAATTTTCAAATACAAACATCCCACCAAAATTTGTGCAGGGAGCCAGAAACAATGGTTGTCAGTCTCCCTAGTCTCAAAATAACGACAACAACAGCAGCAACAACAACAAATGGACAGATTTCAGGATACATGTAGAACCACAAACTAAATTTTCAAATACAAACATCCCACCAAAATTTGTGCAGGGAGCCAGAAACACAATGGTTCTCAGTCTCCCTAGTCATGAGAACTGCAAGTCTCAACACAGTGAATGATCTATGCTCTACCACCTGAGTGGCAAAAACGGAAACCCAAGTGACAAAAATTTAACACACGGGGGGAAATAGGTGGTACAGTTGGAAGTTTCCAAAATTATTGGATTCAAGTGCCCAAAACAACAGTTGAAGGGTTGAACCCTTAGGGAAACATTCCCTCTGGACCAAGACAAAATGATCCAGATGGACTCTCCCATCTCACAGCCTTAGCTGGTCAGTCTGGTGGCTCTTTACACACCCGTTCAGAAAGTGCTCACCTAAACCATCCCCCTAGGGCATAGCCACAGTTCTGAAGCTGAGTCTCCCACATTACTGAGGTCAAGAATCCAAGCAAAATCACCACCTATGGGTAGTTGAGACATCTCCCCCGAAATTACAAATTCAAGGACCCAAGAAAAATCACCACCCCTGGGTAGTTACATCAGTCTCCAGCCTGGCTGAGTCCAAGATTCCAGGAAAACTGCCACGCCTAAGTACAGTTGGGTCCAACATCAATGACTTTAAGGACCCAAGAAAAAACTGCCACCCTTAGAACCCAACATGGCTGACTCAGAAAAAACAAGTCTCCTTTCGGAGGACTTATCCTCGCTTGAGGCTGAGAAAGTGTAATTAAGTAAGAATCCTTCTTCCAAGCCGATACTTACAGTTGATGGTGGCTTCAAAAGTAGCAGAGGAATCACAGGGACGATGGCTGAGAAGCCCGCTGAAGACAAGGTCCGTTGAGCTTCACCGACTCTCCTCCCACTTAGAATTCTAACCTCCTTGGGATTTTGTGTACATGCGCAGAGAAGGAGCGTATCACGCGAAGAGTGATTATTGGTTGAGCAGAGGTCCTTCAGAGATCTGAGGTAGGACCCTACCAGAGGGAAGCCCACCCAAGCCTACTGGCAGGAAAGCTGTTCTCCAGCTCTAAACAAACACCCCTCATAGGCATCCTCAAAGAGCCACCGTAAATATCCCATGTCACAGACCTCTGTTCCATAGACCGAGAAAGCCCAACTTGGAGTTGCGGTCCACGCTAAATGAGAACACTCACCCAGGAAATAGTGTATGCATCTCGGCACTGAAATCCTGATGTTGTGGAGCAGGCCTAACGATTGTGCAGTTGTGTGCAGTGTGGTTACTTGGAACTTCATAGAAACTGGTATAAGTACTGGCGACTAGCAAATCCACATCCCCCTCCGCCCCCGTGTGTCTGGAATGGAATGAAATGAAAGGGTACTAGTCTAGCCAGGGCTCTGATTTATTATTGACTGAGAAGACCGGAAAGGAAGTAACTGGCCAGCTACTGCTACTGGTCTACTGTCCTCTGCCCCAGTGGTTATGGACTCAGCCTCTGAAACTGTAAGCCCCAATAAATACTTTCTTTTATAAGTTGCCTTGCTCATAGGGTTTGTCACAGTAATAGAAAAGTAACTAAAGCACACAAATTTCCATGCTTGATTGCGGCCCATAGGCTAAGGTGAGTCTATCAAGCTAGTGTTTTTTTGTTTTGTTTTGATTGTTTTAGTGCTAAGGCTTGGAACCCAGGTCTCTTGACAGCTATATCCTCTATTCTTTTCACTTTTCTTAATCCTAGTTTCTTTATATTCCTCACATTGGATACTTTCAATCAACCTATCTTCAAGTCCATAGGTTCTTCTGTCTGCTAAGATCTGTTGTTGAACTTTTAGGGAATTTTCCATATCAATTTTTTTATACTTTCAGGTCCATAGTTTCTATTTGCTTTCTGTGTTTTTGCTTACTTATTCATTATCTTTATTTATATATAATATAATATTCCTGCTTTTATTCAGCTATTTATCTGAGTTTTCCTTTAGCTCTTTGATATCTAAGACTTAGTGTTTACTATTAAATCCAGTTAATATGCCATCTTCAAAACCATGAACATATCTTGAAAAAGGTTGGACAAGTGTAGGTTGAAGTACCACTTGAGGCTCGCCTACTGTGTTTTCATGGCTTTTCACATTATCCCACTTTCATTTCGGTTATTATAAACCTGAGACAATACTCCAATACCCCACACTAGCAAATAAAAACTTCACTTCTAGAAATGTTTTGCTGTTGTGTAACAAGGCTTTTCCTGGGGAGATACTACACACATGTCTGTCTACTCAGCCCGGATAAGGAGCCCAAGACAGACCAAGACCAAAGTAGGGATATGACCGAAGTCCAACTTGGTGGGTCATTTAGTTGTCTTGGGGTTACTTACAGGAATGTGGGTGAGGGGTCACTTACAGGAGCAGAAATGACTCAAAGACAGCTAGCTGCTTCACCAAAGCCCACCCCGGCACGCGTGACTCACAAAAGCTGGGAATAACCTGGGAACCTGGAGCAACAATGCACAGTCTGCAGCATCTCAACAAGTTGGAGAGTGTCCTTTCCAAGCGCTTCGGTTGGTCTAAACCTCTTCCAGGAAGCTTAACTGGTCTCTGCTTCTTCCAGGCAGCAGATCTGGCCTCAGGGTTTTCTTTGCATCTTGTTTTGTCTGAGAGACTCTAAAAAATCTTGTTTACTCTGGCGAGGAGGGGCTAGTAAATCCGTTCAGTTTCAGGGACTTCCTGAAGCTATTTTTATTTGTTTACCTTCTCTTAAGGGTTTTCCCGAATGGTGGAATTTTTCAATCTGGAAGGAAACTACTAAGCAACAGCTACCTTTTTTTTGAGTTGTTGCTCAATGGGGTAACAGACATCCAAGCTTTATAGACTATTGTCAATACTCTTAGCCTCCTCTAGAACTTGATAATAAGATTCTATTGTTAAGGGAAGTCACAGAACATGGAAAAATCAAGGTGGTACTTATTTGGAAGCTTCATCCCTTTTGGTTAGCATTCCTGGTGCTAGAAGATGCTATGTACCTTGTGAGAGGAAAAAAGTAATTCTCCATTTCACTTAGATGCAAACCCTGCAAACTACAACAGGTCCAACAAGATGTGCCCACTGATGCAATAATGGCATGTTATGGGAATAGTCAATCACTTTCTGATTGGATCTAAGGACACTCTATGAGAAGTAACCCATACCTGGTACTGGTTAGCTAGCGAAGAATCTGTGACTAGACAAATCAGAGGTTCTACGGAAGAACCTAATACTATTATTCTCTTACATGGCCATATTTTGGAAATTACTCCTAATGACCTGCTATACTGATAGATCAGTGCATCTCTCACTCCTCATCAGAGAAGCTAATTACAGTAGATAGTACTTAGCACAGAGATACTCAGCTGGTCAATATCCAAAGAATAAGACTGGAGTGCTCAGTCCTAAAAGGGACATTCATATTAATAACCCCTCCTCACAATGCTCAGGAATCTTCTAATAACATTCAGCCCCGTGCTTCTAAGTTCAACTATTTTGTTAACATTTTCAAAAAACATTTATTCATTTATGTATATGCACACACACATGCTTATACAACAGTGTGCATGTGAGAGTCAGAGGACAGCTCCTGGGAGTTGGCGCCCTCCTCTTACCATGTGGGTCCCAGGAATCAAATTCCGAGCACCAGGCTTGGTGGCCGGGGCCCTTGCTGCTAAGCCATCTTATGGGCTGTCTTGTTAACATCTGAATTTGTTTGACAGTGTGTAATGGAATATTTGTTTATACAAAGATGTGCTACATTTGCTTATGTTGCAGGATATCTGTTTATGTAAAGGCACCTGATTGGTCTACTAAATCTTAATGGCCAATAGAGACGGAAGGGGTATACGCAGGAATAAGTAGGTTGAGGAATTTAGACTGGAAGGAAGAAAGAAAAAAATGCTAGGGAGACTCCAGGAGCCTGCCAGCTAGACACAGGAACCAAGAAAGTAGGATATACAGAATGAAAGAAAGTTAGAAAAGTCCCGAGGCAAAACATACATGAATAGAAACAGGTTAAATGAAGTTAAAAGAGCTAGTGGGACAAGCCTAAACTAAGGCCAAGCATTCATAACAAGTCTCTGTGCCTTTATTTGGGAGCAGGTTGGTGGCCCAAAGAAAATGCCAACTACAATAGTGTCTAATTGTTTTTTCTGAAAGGAATACCAAGACCAGAGACATACAACTAGAAATGTATTGCCAATAAACTTTTGAAAATCAATAAAATGATTTTATTTCATATATGCAAAGTGAAAATCTCTTTGATCACTTACATTTTTACAAATAAAAACAACAATACTGCTCCATATAAACTTTTATATAAACATCAAAGAAAATATACATATTATTTTTCCTTTTAGTGCTTCCAAAGCACAAAATGTACAAGTCTACCTGAAGACTTTCCGTTGTCACATGCAAGAACAAATGTCAGAGGATAGTGCAGCCTCAGGTGCACTTTGTAATGTTTATAGACAAAATGGAAGAGCACTGGAGGTAGATTGGTTGGTTACTCTCCCTGCCCCTTCCCAGAGAGAAATAAGTTACCTAAATAGCAGCTTTTTACTCTTTGATTCCAACTATCCTGAATATTGCATGGTTTAAAAGGCACAGCTAGAAATTGGTGAGTGGTGATTACCACTTGGATTCTACATGCTTACTTGCTCTATGGGACACAATAAGGACATTAAGCAGTGCTCTCCTTGCAGGTGGCCCCTGCCCACTCTGAAAACATCTGGAATGGTAACGTTCAAATGACTGAACTCTGTTAGCTGTAGTAGGAGCAGCAGTGCTTTGTGATTTAACATCACTTTTCCTAATTGGAAAAAGAAAAAGAAAATGAAAAAATACTTTCAATTATAACTCTTAAGGCGAAAGCCCAGATTTTACTTCCAGATAATCATTAAAATCTGTAGTCAAACACTTTTCTTAGCCTGAGTTAGGTCATTCCCTTCACTCAAACATTCTAGAGGGCTTAATTAGGTCCCATTCCATCCTACAGCACTTGGGAGGCAGAAGCAGGCAAATCTCTGAGTTTGCAGCCAGCCTGGTCTACAGAGAGACATCCAACATCCTACAGTGTTCTTTTTTCTTGCTTGTCTTGATATTAACATGATGATCTGCTGTTGATGTGATTCACATTGTTAAGAAGGTGGTGGGAATCTATTTTTTCTAGTACCTTCTCAAGGTACTGAATTAAGACTCTTCTTTTAAACCTGAAAATAAAAAGAAATATTACTAACCATCACAGAAGACTTGACAGTGTGTAGAGTGTTGGCCTGCAACCCGAGTATAAGTCACCCTCATGGGAAGATATAGCTTAGCAAATGGGAGAACCTATCTAAGGCTCGTGCGTGCACACAGACACATACACACACACTAGCTACGAGTTATGAATCAGGACTCTAGTTGTTGTAATTTAAAAAGCAGTGTGTGACATGAAAGATGCAACAGAGCTCACATGGAGAGGTTTTTTTTTTTTTATTAAGGGAAAGAGAATGGGAAAAGGAAGGAGGGGAGAGAGGAGATTGGCCTCTGCGGACAGGAACAGCAGGAGAGGGGGGACAGAGAGACAGACAGAGAAGCAAGGAGAGAGGGGGGAAGTGAGCAGGGCCCTTTTAAAAGGGGACACAGTGAATGTGCACAGGAGGTGCTTTTGGTGGCTGCAGCTGAAGACATATCCTGTCAAAACCCCAAGGGCAGGCCAGTACAGATGCCTGAATATTAACACTGGCAGTATCCATCTCAACACTGTAGCAATCACCCTTATCTATGAGTGAGGATAAGTGTTTTAGTTCACATATCAAGGCAGAGCCTATCTACTCTTTCTCTTTTATTGGATCCTACAACTAAAGTAAACAAAAGAAAAACAGAACCAAAAACAATTAGAAAACATTTAGAAGTATTGTTTTTACTCACCTTGCAGCTTCCTTGATAGTGAACTCAACAAACTGCTTTTTCATTTCCAGGGGTCCCTGCACTTCTTCAAGCAAAATGAAAATCCTTTCATACTCTGGTGGTATTACAAAATTCAGTGTTATAAAAATATGAAAGAGAAATAAAATTCAAAAATTATACATCCTCAGAAATCATTCTTCATGGTAGAAAGTCATAAGTATATCTGGCATGTTAAACACTAAAATCAAAATGTCTACATACATTTATGAAGGAAATTCTTATAAACAGTACTCACATGAGGTAAGCTGAATACTGATTACCCCAAACTGCCCTAGTCCATGAAGCCTGTGAATTTATTACCATAGATGCTTTATATGCTTATAGAATTAGGTTATAGATACTGAGTTTGTCCAGGTTTATGCACAGGGATTCGATGTAACCACAAATATCCTTTAAGATGGAATAGTATGGACATTTGATTGCTTCTGGAACAGGGGGAATCAGTTTTCTTTGCAAGTATAACTCGTGGTAGTAGATGGCCTTGCACACAGAAGTACAAGGTGGATTCAACTAGTTACTTAAAAAAGAGAGGAAGTTGAGGGGGTAGGAGGTGGGGTAGATTCAGGGAGGATTGTGAATGAATAGGATCAAATATATTATATTTAGGTTTCAAAGAATTAATCTAAAAATAGAATCTTTCTTTTTTTTAAGACAGGGTGCAGCACTGGCTGTCCTGGCACTCGCTCTGTAGACCAGGCTGGCCTTGAACTCACAGAGATCACCTGCCTCTGCCTCCCGAGTGCTGGGATTAACGGTGTGCAAAGGGGAAAAAGGTGTTGTGCTGCTGACTTGATGAAGGGAGGGATGAGGGGAACAGCAAAGTGCAGTCAGTCTTCAGAAGCCAGAGAAGGCAAGGAAACAGATCCCTCCTTTATCCTGGAGAAGAAACACTGACCCAACATCTTGCCTTCACTTTAGTCCAGTGAAAATATAGTCTGAATTGCAAAGCTGTAAAGCAATCAATTTGCGCTGTGTGAAGCTATGCGTCATCTGATAACTTGTTAAAGCAGCAAAATGAAACTACTGTAAGTTAGGGCCAGAAGAATCAGTTTAAATTATGTGAAAGCCCAAGACTGGCCAAAAACATGCATGCCCAGACTCTACTCTAGAGCTAAGGATATAGCTCAGTTGGTAGAGTGCCTGCCCAACAAGCATGAGACCCTGGGTCCAATCCTTAGCAGCACCTTGTCTGTGGTACCACAAACCTGTGATGCAAGTGCCATGGAGGTAGAGACAAGAAGATTAGACATTACCACCAGTCTGGACCACATAGAGAGTTCAAGGCCAACCTGAGCTGTATGAAAGACTGGGTCAAAACCAACAACAAAAAAACCTCTTTGGAATCATACAAGAGGGATCTGCCATTGCATTAAAGATATTCCATTACTACTTACTTCGTCCAAACTTTCGGACCTCCTTCATCAACTGATGCTTTATATCAGCATTGATGCCTTGTGCCATTGCAGGAGTGATTTGCATTGAATTTGGCACAGTTTCCAAAGCAGATGCCATTGGGATTTTTCTATCATCTACAGAAAGAGTGCAGGTTTTGGCTCCTCCTATAAGTATATTATTATTAGGTTTGTGAATGAGTCCATCTTTCCTGAGGCCAGCAAAATCATCAGATAGAGAATCCAATTGGTTGGATATAAGGCTGTCTCCTGCCACATTCATAAAGTCTGCTGGAGCAGATTTTAATAAGAAGCCATCAGCTGGGCTTTGCCCATTTTCCATCTTCTCTTCATGGATTTCATGAATGACAGTGGCATCTGGAAAGCAAATTAAGAAGTTGAGCTGTGAAGTGGGTAGAGCATGTTAACCCCACAAGTATGTCTCCATGTTCCTCGGTTTCAAGGAAATGATGGCTTTCATTGATGAAGAGGATAGAACAGATGGAGATCTGAGACGCTTCCCACTAGGAATACATACACAAACCAAGATGCTAATAAGTAAGTACTCATAGGTCCCTGGTGCTCGGGGCGTAATGTCACCCTGTATGCTTAAAAATCACATATAAACTACTACCCTTTACTGAGTTTGAATCTCTACAGCTTGCATATGCCATATGCTTCCTATAAAAACCAAATATTCTGAGAAAGCCGACGTGCCTACTGGGACTGAACAAACATTCTGCCCTCACCTGCAAAGCAACTGCCTATCTGCAGATGAGTCTGCCCATTTCCTTGTTCATGCCAGAGTAATTATTTTTCTGTTCTCAGGCCAGCACCTCTATGTCATTTACTTATCTTCTGCTGTGCCAGGCATCAAGGTAGTAGCTGGGAATCTTCAGTGACCAAAAAACAAAGGAAGTGCCCCTGCCTGCCCTCACAGAACCTACAGTGTCACAAGGCCATCAGAGAGGAACCACAGAGTGAGCACCAACACACTCATAACTGCTTTCATTTGAGGAAAGACATAAATGGGATGAGAGAGGGAACTTACATGGCTACCAGGTGGTGGCAGGATCTTCTGTAAGGATGCTAAATTTTAGTGAGGGCAGGAGATACAGGGGAGTAAGCCAGGAGCAGTGGAGTGAAGGGTAAGGAGGATATGGATGGAACTTGAGATAAGAGAGGACTGTGGTATCAGGCCACGTGAAGCTGTGTGGACCATGGTTAAGAGTCAGACTGTATCCTGAACGTTTAGAAAGATGGAGGATGTGTTTTCTGTATGCATGTGGCATGCTTCTATTTATCTAATGGCATCGTTACTCTGACTTCAAATTGAGAGAGAAGATGGGTAGAAACTAAACAAGAATGAGAAGCAGAGAGACCATCTACTAATAATAGCTTGGTGAAAATTCATGGAATTGTGGAGTGACGGAATGGAGAAAGATAGTAAGATACAGGAATTAAATTGAATGTCAAATTACCTCATCCTGTTAATGGAAGAAAGATAATTTTAAAAATCATGGTGATTTTTGAGGTTTGTCACCTGAACCAACTAGATAAACTGTCATATGTCCAGGAGCCAGCATATTATTGGCTTTGAGAGTAGATGATACTCAAATCTTCCTGACTCTGATTGGGTGGCTTTAAGTTGATCATGCTGCACCAACAATACAGTGTTAGTTACACAACATTCTAATCTAGGGTTCTTCAACCCTACCAATCCATAAAGGTGACAGAGATTTTCCAATGGAGTGAGGGTTAATATCATTAACTGCCAAGGGTGCCGGCAGAGCTATTCTGGAGAGAGGCAAAGCTACACATTTAGTTATAACACTAAACTGTAAAATGTAAATAAAACATTATTGGCTATTACACTCCAAAATGGAGGTACAACCCCAAGGCTGCAGGGGACCACCTTTAGAAGACAGCACAGTGAGACGAGATCCAAGGATTGAACTGTGGGGGTCAATAGTATCTAGCTGGGAGAAAGAAAGGGAGCAAAGAGAAAAGGATGAAAAGGAATCACTTCTAGAAAGAAAAGAAAACTAGGTTTCTGCTAACACAAGGGCTTCCATAGAGGAAGACATGAACAACTGAACCAAAAACTATTGAGAAAGGCAATGTACAGAAAACCCTGGTGACCTTGAGGATTGTCTCAGTGGGGTCAAGGAGGCAGACCCCAGATTTACCAGTTCAATCAGGGTTAGGAGGTGACAGCACAGAGAGTAATTGCTGATCCAATTTCTTAATAGTGAGCCTATTGACTCTACCATCTTACAAACTTGCTTTCTCCTCCTAACTTTTGAAGCCGATCCAAATGGTTACAGCACACATGCTCCTAACTCCTCATTTTCATACTAGTCTCTGTGTTAACACTTGCTATGCATGTATTAATCATTAATTATGACATTAATATCATGTGTTGATTACTATAATTATGTATCTTTTTCCTCCTCTCATATGGCTAAGATCACTAAATCAGGGTTTCTGCTCCCCAGAAGGTCTGTTGTGCCTACCATAAGATGCTTTAATAATGGTTTACTTAATCAACAAAGAAATAAACACAGAAAGGAATACAAAGGCAAAACAAAATTTTTAACGTGTTAGTCTTCTAGGAGCCATAAGGGAAATCACAACCACTACTCTATACCTGGATGTACAAGGGTGGGTTTTATGAGGTCTGGACAAGATGGGAACCAGGAGGCTGAGAGTGGTCCCTTAACGCCCACATGGTTAGTTACAGTAGGAGGTGTTTGTGGTTTCCTCAACAGCAGGGACATACTCCGCCTTCTCTTAGATGACATAGGACTGTTCGGTTCTCCAGGACGTTTCACTTTGTTTTGCGGCCCTACTACAAACTCATCTGCTTCATCAATCATCATTCCCTAAAAAACATCAACGAACATGTTTCATTTAAAACAGAAGTTCAATTGTCAAAAAAAACCCCAAACAACAATTTAAGCACTTTTCATATGCATATCCTCTCAGCCATGCGTCGAATCATCTAGATTAGCCTTAATTATAGTCCCTGTAGCAACTCTGTTACCAGAAAATTCAACCCAATTTTAATCCTACCTAAGTGGGACAAGGAGGAAACTAACATGCAGGTTTTTGTCTAAGGTTAATAGACAGCCTCAAATGAACCAAGATGAGATAAATCCATAGCCATCTTTAAATATCTTTTTCAAATAATTTATGTGTGTGTGCACATGTGTGTTTGGGTGTACCGTGTGTGTGTGTGTGTGTGTGTGTGTGTGTGTGTGTGTGTGAGAGCACTCTGTGGGTGTTTGTGGGGACACTGTGTGTGCCAAGCAAGCCCAGAAGAGGGTCTCAGATCCCCTAGAACTGAAGTTTTAGAAAGTCGTGAGCCACCTCGTTCGGGTGCTGGGAATCACATGCTCTTGATAGCTGCTGAGCATCTTTCCAGCAGCTGCAGTCATTCCTTCTTTTCCTTTTTCTTTCTTTTTTTCCAAGACGAAGTTTTCTCTGTTTAATAGTCCTGGCTGTCCTGGAACTTACCCTGTAGACCAGACGGGCCTGGAACTCAAGTCACAGAGAACTTCCTGCCTCTGCACCCCGAGTGCTGATACTAAAGGCATGTGCCACTGCCTCCCAGCCACAGTCACCCCTTTAAAAGTAGTACAAAAACCACCTTTTGCCTGGTGTGGTGGCACAACTCAGGTAGTTGGAGTGAAAAGCTTTAATCCCAGCACTCAGGAGGCAAAGGCAAGTGCACCTCTGTGAGTTCAAACCAGCCTGGTAGACAGGATAACTTCCAGAACAGCCAGGGCAATTATACAGAGAAAATCCTATCTTCAAAAAGCAAAACAAAACAAGAAACATCTTGCACTAGCCCTTGGTAGGGCTTTAAACTCATCATTAAGAAATATTGATTATTCCTAGACAGACTAATGCGTGTAGATGGTGAAAGGCAGGCAAATACGAAAACATGATTCCCTCCGCCACAACCTCAAATATATCTGTCTACCTTGGCACTCATCAGGGAGTCAGGGGGTTATTTATTCTTGAGAACAGATGAACACAAAAATCAGCAATACCTTATCTTAGCTAAAACCTGTGTCATCACAGACAGCCCAAGAATATGTGCATTATTACTTAGAAAAAAATCATGGCAAAATTATCTTTCTAAAGAATTTTCCCCCTTCCATTAACCATGCAAAAAAGACACAGCCGTTTTTACTGAACATCTACTATATGCTCTGTAATATTCTAAACAGTGTAATATTCTCAACAGAATATTATACACTCAGTATTCCTTACAGCTCTGTCAGTTTGGTGTAATTACTATCCCCAGTGTTACATAAGGAATCAAGGCACAACATCTTTAACTAAGGATTGGCATGAGCTGGGATATTTTTAGTTCAGTTTGATGACAAAGAGAGATACAGAATATATCCATGAGTTATATCTATGTTTATCTACAAAAGTGTAGTGATGATCCCATTTCTTTTCATCAGTAAATGATGACCTCAGTTTGCACCATACACACACACACACACACACACACACACACACACACACACAGAGCACAGAGTATATTGTAGTTCAAGGGATACACATTATAGATCTGAATCATGGAAATAAAGGAAATACTTGGTATTCTTTATATTAAAATAATTAGTGTGTGGTAGTATAAATGAATATAGAATGTGGATCCAGAAACATGTGGGTTCAAATCCTGGCTTTGTCAGCCATCACAGTATTTTGATATCTGACTACTTTAAGCCAAGATTTCTTCTTATCATAGGATAAATACAATTTATCTTTCAAAACACTTGTGAGTACAAACAATCATTTAAAACACCACATCCTACTATACACTCAACAAATGACACTTATTGTATATAATTAGCATAACTTGCATTAGGAGACTCCATCTCCCATCTACAGAGTCCTAGTGTCATGTTTACCTCTGTACATCTGGCTAAAAGGACAGAGTTACAGCAAACATATCACAGACTCAGAAATGGGTATATTACCTTCTTATCTTGCTTAAACGGATTGCCGAAAGTATGCAGTCTTTTTGGTTGATCTGGATCAATCTCTCGTAGTGGAGAAGCCAGCATCTTTAGATATTCCTGATAGTTGCCCATTTGTGCAACTGGAACACTATGAAGTGAATCTGTAAAATCAGCAGCAGAGAAATTTATTAAGTTGAAGTATATGGCCCCTTTGAAAGGACATTATCATCACTGGCTCAGCAATGTGTTGCGTAACACTATAGTCTGGAATCCCAAATCTGGTATTCCAAGATCTATCTAGTGTCATCTTCAGTACCTAACATCATCTTCATTTATACTTATCAGTGGTCTACAATTACTATATTGCCTCCAGGCTCACTTGACAAGAATTAGCAACTCCTTTACTTACTACCCAACTCCATGTAAAAATGGGCTTGTTTCCCAAATACCATCATTTGAATTCAAAACACTGTACATTCTCCATTTTTGTTCTAGTGTTCTGTTTCCTAAAAAAGACCTATTTTCATTTTATGTGTATGGCTCGCCTACAGGTAAGTATGTGCACTGCATACAGGCCTGGTGTCTACAGAGTATAGAGGAAGGTGCCAGATCCCCTGGAACTGAAATCATGGACAGTTGTGAGCCACCATGTGAGTGCTGGGAACTGAACCCGGGTCTCTTGTAAGAGTAGCCACTTCTCTTAAACATTGTGCCACCGCTACATCCACTCTCTCTGTTTTCTGAAAAAGGTTTTCACTCTGTAGCCCAGACTAGACTCAAATTTGTAGAATCCTCCTGTCTCAGGCTCTTGAGTGCTGAGCAGCTATGCCCAGTACTCAGGGTATTCTCTTGTCACAAAGAGAGTCTTGGTTAATGAGCTTACCCTCTACTGATTTGATTACATACAATTGTAATGTCCTGTTCCTAGGAAACCTCTGTTCACACACATGAAAGATATAATACCCGAGAGTTGGCTAGGAGTTTGTTCATTTTTTGTGGATAAGTGACCCCATTCAAAATTAACAAACTAAGATAAAGTATTCCCAGACATTATCTAGAGTTCACTGCTTTCATGGGGAATAGGTATTCTCTTCTGACTTTTTCACAGCCGGATGGGTACAAATCAGTGTCTGAGGGTTCAGGTTTGGAAATCTGTCATACCTAGGTTCTGCCACTTTGCAATGGGCTAGCCCTGCCCGAGCAAGCTACTAAAATGCATGCTCTTCACTTCAGTGCCTATAAACTGGCATAAAATCAGTATCCATGTCCTGGGATTTGGGGGCATGCAAGAGTGAGCCCACATAACAATAGCAATGGAGGTCAGAATGCTGATTAACACATGCCTACCTTTAAGGTTGAGGGAAGATAAGTAGGGAGATGGAGGGCCTGAGTGAATATGAGCATTGTGAACATTAACACATTACAAAATAATTCTGCAATAAAGACTTTCATTTAAGTCATATCTGCTATTCTCCTAAAGAAAAGTAGTCCACTGTTCAGTTACCTTCATCTTGTCCCACAATAAACTTCCGTGTTTTCAGTAGATTGGATCTCATTCTGGTCAACTGGTCTAAAAGTCCTCTACGTGGAATATCATAAGCATTTCTGTATGTCTGAGGTTTCAAATCCTAGTTTAAATGAAGCAATGTCGGTTACTCCTAAAGCTTTTAAATAAAGAAATGTAATACCTAACCCTCTTAAAAATCTCATTGAAGAGAACTATGTTTCATACAACCAATTACAGCTCATTTTTTTTTTTTGGTAGTAAACTTCTATTTACGGTTCTGAATGCTGACATACCCGCAAGTCATTAAAGTCACTGGGGATATAATTTTCAAGTACATCATTTAAAACTCCAAATCCCAAGATTTATAGATAGCTGTAGCTGCCTTGCAGGACTACTTCTTGTAGCCTAGTTTTATTCCCCTAGCAGGGAGGTGGGCTGCAGCAATCTCACTCCAGGATGGCAACTGCTGACTGCACATGGAGTCAAATTGGCTGAGGGCCCAGCTGCAGTGCCTTTGGAGGCTGCTGCAGCCCTGGGCAGAAGCCAGGCTGTTCATGGCCAGGGACTGAGAAGTGCAGAGTGGGGGACCCAGCCAGCTGTGATCACAGTCATTTCCTCCATGAGAATGCCCAGGGCCGGAGGTTTCCTGTGGTCTGGCTCAGGCATGCTCTAAGTTGCACAGACCGTCTTCATCCCCATACTACTTGCTGCTTCTCTGTCACAGATGCCAGATCTACATGGCAGTCTGCCTCCTGCAGCTTCCTTTCCATTTTACTTTTTATAGCTGTTTACTGCCCATTTCTACCAAGCAACATATCATGTACATTTAATTTCATGTTGGCATCTGCTGGCAGAACAATCTCAAAATGGCATCACTAATAATTATTAACTCCAAGCTTTCCATGGTGATGCATGCCTTTAATCCCAGAATAGACAAACCTCTGAGTACAAGGCCAGCCTAATCTACAAAATTAGTTCCAGGACAGACAGGGCTACACAGAGAAACCGTAACTCTAAAAACCAAAATACTACTACTACTAATAATAATAATAACTCCAAAATAGGCCATTATTGCAAAACTAAAGCAATGCAAACAACAAACATGCCAGGAAAAGTCAGATAAACATGCCTTTTAACGGCACAATTTACCTTGTTGAAGAGCCCTACTTGGAAGCCAGCAAATTCTTTGGTATTCAGTTCTGTCAGTCTCGGTGCACTTTCCCCTATGATTTCTTTCAACAGCTTTCTAAAGTTTTTATTGTGAGCCAGGGGCAGGCCACCTCCAGAATGATTTTTCACTTTGATACCAATCTCCTGGGGGGGTTTCTTCCCCACTGATGCTAGTATTCGATCTGACTCTAGTTTGGTCTAAAATGAAAGGACAGAATATGTTATCCGAATATCTACTAAATTGTCATTTTATTATTTAAGAAAATACTTTAAGAGCCCCACTGAACACTTTTCATGTGCAAATCACAGAAAAACAGTTAAGTGAACATTTCCCTATGCTTCTCTGTTCTACCACAGCAAACACAGAGGGGACTGCAAAGACAAATGACTTCATGCATGTTTTCTTTTGTAGTGTCAAAACTATGAACAAATCATGAAGAAAATAGAAACCATGGGTAAGAATTTCATTCATAGACATGAAAAAGCACATATTGCTACTGCAAAATCTAATCTAAATCAACACAATCAGTTTGGATCCAGACACAAAGATTTAAAGCTCTGTATTCATACATGTAAAGTATTACTTTAATTCAATTCATCTAGACTGGCATTATATTTGAAAACATTAAAAATGATTTTTTTAAAAATGAGATTATCCAATAAATCTTATAAATGTAAATCTTACTTTAAAATATTACTAAGCAAACACTATTTAACATCTACTCAGTAATTTTATCACTAACAAACATTGGAAAGTCCCCTTAGTAAACATTGTATCAATTAATTTTGCTTGAATGAGTTAAAGCAGGGTATTTGGCATTTGTGTTTTAAATACATCTGAGATGGTTCAAGAAACCCTGGTGCCATAATATTAGCATTAGAGAAATAGAAATTAGTAATAATCTTTTCTTTTTCTAAAAGATAAACTTCCATCAATGTTCAATAAGCCCCCGATAATTTTTTTATTTCTTATGGATTGGCCTGAGATATTTCTTTTGCCTAATTATTTGGAATATATACATGCATACATATATGCATATGTATGACTATATGCTTAAGTAAATTCTTAAGTCATGAAATAGGAGACAAAATTAGATAAAGGGTCTGTTTCTGTGAGTGACCTTGAAAGCTCATTCAGTTAAAGAATACAGTGTGTCCCCAAAGGTCCCAGCATTTGCATGCGTTTCAACTCTGTCCACTTTTCTTTCACTGTGGCCATACTCTGACAAAGCCTTAAAGGCCAAACATAAACATCAAATTAAAAAAAAACAATAGATCAATAAAGATAAATAACCAAGGTATTTGCAACAACAACAACAAAAATCTATTAGCAGAGAGGAGTTTAGATTAGGGGGGACTTGTTAGGTCAAAAATCCGGGCTTGCCTTTATTTTCTTTTGCACTTACAAGCACGCTAGACTAGTATGCCTTTGTAAGCTTTAGAATGTGGTTTTCAATGTTTGCTCATTTCTAGCAAGGCATGCCAGCATCCCAATTATGGAGTCCTATAGGTCCTTAGTAACATCTGACACTTGGCTTAGCACTCAGTTTTCTAAAGGCCAAATTTGCCAACATACTCAGCTTGAAACGCTGTAGTTGCTGCAAATGCTACTTCTTACCTAAAAATGTATTTGTGTATAAGAGCGTCAAGCCGCTGCATTAATTTATCACACAACACAATTGTCTGTCAGTAGCACTCTAACTTGGTAGTTTCCAAATATCTCCATCCTACAAGAATGTCCTAGTTGAAAGTGAGAAATATGGTAAGGAGGGGTGAGTGGAAGATGGGGCAGGCAAGGGACAAGGTGAATGACAGTGAGTGAGGTGGGGTCTAAAGGACTGGATGAAGGGCGAGAGAGGAGGAAGAACTTCCCTCTCCAGGCCTCCTTGGGGTCTACCACCCTTCCAGGTTGAAGAATATTGGTCTCATGCCTCCCCTTCTCCAGGGACAGGCAGGCAGCTATTTATCCAAGGGCTAGCATGTGAGTATAAGAACTTAACATGCTGCCTGAAAAGCAACTCCAGGCGAGGCATATTGAATCACACCAGACCTTGGCGTGCTGACTCACAAAACGGGGGTGCTCTAGCCAAGTGAATTGAGGAGAAACTAGTTGGAGGACAGACACAATGTGACCCACAAGAGAATCCTATGAAGCCTCTGCCCCTCTTAGGCCACAAAATATCAGCCAGGGTATGGGCAGAACAAACTGGCAGGCAGAAGGAGAAACTAACTGCGTTTAATGGTGAAGCTAGAAGCCATAGAGAATCACAGCATTACTAATCCATAAAGTGTAGAGATATATACACATTTAATCTGAAAAGTTACAATTACACTAGAGAATAAGGAAATGCACTTCTGAGGGCAAAGGATTTTGGTTTGTTTGTTTTTACCAATACTACCTGTTGGCTGAGTTTTTTAAGGTAAGAGATAACACTGTAACTAAGTCCACAATCTAAATTATCTGATATCAGATTTGGAGCTCCCATCATCCTTAGTGCTTTCTTTAATGGCTATAAGGAAACAAAATACACAACAGTAAGAATAGAATAAATCTTAAATACTCAAAAGTTCAGTTATAAGGGGCAAGGGGACATGATTCATTTCTTAGAAGTCAAGGTGCTGCACATAAAACCAAACATGGAACATTAAAAAGTGGCAATGAAAATAGCAGAGAAGTAAGGAGCAGAAACAAATCAGAAGAGAGTGGGTAAGAAGAGCAAATAGCAGCCAATTCAAACAAGTACATTGCTTTCAGTCTTACTTCCCATCATTGAATCACTTCCATTGCATATGACTGCAGAGCCCACGCTTGCCATGGTAAATAGCAACACAGCCCACTTTCTCCTCCCAGCAACACCAATGGTCCCCTAGAAGACTCTGCCTTTTCACCTCTAGAAACTTGGCATTAAGTTATGACAGCAACCCCTGAAATGGTCGTATCGTCTTGATTAGGATTAGATGACCAGTTCAGAATCATTAGGCATTGTTTTCTCGGAGTATAAAAAACAGAATAGAGGCCAAGTCATGTTTTCTTCTCCTTGGATCCTCTCTAATGCCAATGCCCCCACATCGTGTTATATCGAGGTTGCATTTAACCAGCAATAAAGAACTACAGTTTCTTCCAAGTTTCATTTATGGATTGAAATGCCACATTGAGTTTCTAGAGTTCAAAAGGGAAGTTGATGTAACATGAGTTTAGACATATTTATCCTTACATTCCAGAATTACAATTTTATAAGGTTAGTTTTAATAAGAGAAACATAGATGTGTTTATAACAATGGCCATGGCAGATAAAAATAAAGGAAACAGAAAGACAATGCTCGTTTGTGTCGCCATGTCGTCTCCAAACTCTTACATATGGCTTGAGAAGACAGTGACGACACAAATGCTCATAAAGTCAAAAGAGTTATCTTCTTGTAGGGGTAAAACTTGATTCCTTATGACAAGACTCATCAGTGACAGTTAATATGTACATATACACACAAAAATACATACTATTAAGTAGTAAGGAGGCAGAGTTTTTAAGTAGTTGTCAAAAGCCTGTCGCCACTTCAGATTTGGCTTAAGCTTGTGAACTTTAAACAAGTCATCTGTAACACAAAACCAAGTAATCATGTTAGCCCAGAACCAGCTTGCAAGATCTAAAATCAAACAACTAACATCTAGAAATTGGATTTTATTCATATTAGATGAACATTTCTGGCAGTTTACCTAAATTGTCCTTCCTGGTTGTTGTACCTACCAAAGTTCCATATAGGTGTTCTCCAACTTACAATAGTTCAGTTGAAGACTTTTTTAAATTTAAAGATGGTGGGAAGCCGGGCAGTGGCACACGCCTTTAAACCCAGCACTCGGGAGGCAGAGGCAGACGGAACTCTGTGAGTTCAGCCTGGTCTACATAGTGAATTCCAGGACAGCCTGGACTGTTACACAGAGAAACCCTGTCTCAGAGGGGGTGGGGTGGGAAAGTAATATATAGTCAATAGCAGCTACATTGCAACTTCTAAGTTGCGATCTTTTCTCAGCCTAATGATGCACAGTACAGAACTTTCTCCCAATGCTAGGTAGCAGGAGTAACCCACAGTTCCCATTAGCCCCATAGATCATGATGGGAAAACAGGACACTGTGAGGTGTGCCCTGGTGCTAAGCTGAGATGATCTGGAGGTTAAGGGTAGTAGAGGTGGTTTTTGGACTTAACAATTGATTTATTAGACTTAATCCCATTATAAGTTACAAAGCATATCTATTGTGCCTTTTAAAAAATTAAGTAAAATTTCAACTTACTTATGCATCCATTTGCAAAGCTTATACGGCATGATATTAAAATACTGCTTTATACTCACTTGCAAGTATTTTCCTGATGTGTTATGTATTAGTCATTCTAATACAATAATTTTCAACTAGGGGATTTGGTTTAAAAGCAGAGGGTGGGCCAGCCATGGTGGCGCATGCCTTTAATCCTAGCACTCAGGAGGCAGAAGCATTCAGATCTCGGATTTCGAGGCAAGCATGGTCTACAGAGAGAATTTCAGGACAGCCAGGGCTACATGGAGAAATCCTGTCTCAAAAAGCCAAACCAAACAAACAATATAGAGTATGGGGCCCAGCAAGATGGCTCAGCAGGTAAGGGTGCTTGCAGCCAAGCCTCACAACCTTAGTCCGATCCCTCAGACCCACATGGCAAAAGGAAAAGAACAGATTCTTCTAACTTTCACATACATGCCATGGCATGGACACCCTTCCTCTCTTCTTTTTTCTGATTTTTTTGAGCGAGGCTCTTACTACGTAACCCAGACAAGCTTGAAATTTACTATGTCACCAGGTTTGACTCACTCCTAATCTTTCTGCCTCAGCCACCCAATCGCTGTGATTACAGCCATGCACCACTACATCTGGCTTAACATGTCTCTTGAACACCATGTGCACCAACATAGTTAAATATGCAGACATCCCCTATTTCAATATATAAATCTAATTATTTTAGTAATATACACATTATGCATATTGCGTGAAAACTTCCAAACACCCTCTTTATTTCCTTCTAAGTCTGAGCAAAATAGTTCCAATTTAAGAATTCAAACTGGTATGACCAGCTGTCAACATCTACCTGTCACCCATGCTGGAAAGACAGCGGATAGTATCAGTCCGTCCTCTACTGTTCCTGTAAGCTTCATTAGGCATTCTCTACAGATAGGTCCATTTTTTAAAAAGTACTTTGGTCAAGAAAAGCAACTGGATATTTCCTTCTCTTTATTGCTCTAATAAAATATTTACTCACAGAGAAACAAATTTCAATAAGTTTACAGAGCCATAAAAAGCAGGCCCTTTGTTCTTTTTATGTTTTTTTTTTCTTTTTTGCAGAAGAAAGAGATCAGAAGGAGTCCTTGATTGAAGACCCTGGGGACTTTACAGACCATTCATGTCTTGACAAGAGGCAATGAAACACTATGGAAAGACCCTGCTATACTGTGCTATTTCTTAAAGCCTTTTGGGAATTATGTAGAGGTTTGAAAAGTCTGCAAGAACTGGGATGCAGCTCAGGGGTATAGCACTTGCCTAGTCTGTGAAAGGGCTTGTTTTCATCCCCAGCACTGGAAAATCTCTGAGAAGAAATAGACTAAATCAGCATCTAGGCAAAGCATTTGTCATTGTTAAAAACAGTGAGGATGGGGCTGGCGAGATGTCTCAGTGATGAAGATCACCAACTAGCTCCTGGTCCAGAGGATCCCGGTTTGAGTCTCATCTCATAATAGTGGACCACTTTCTACAAGGCCAGTTCTGGGGGAATCTGAAGTTCTCTTTTGGATTCTGTAGACATTAGGCATGTACATGGTACATAGACATACTTGCAGGCAAAACACCTCTATACACAAAATAATAAATTCTTAAAAAGAAAAACTAATGGTATTACTTATTCTGTTTATCTGATTTGTTTCTATCTAAAGTCTCTCTACTACTTACATCCTTGTCTATGTAGAGAGCTTGAGGTCAGCTGGCAATACATAAGACTATAAGATAGAGAAGTATGTAAGTACTGTCACATATCATTTGTCCTCCTGCGTCTCCTTTGTTTCCTACTGCATAATATCCTCAAGCACAGTGCCAATAGTTAGCAATAGTGTTTTGTATATAGAAATTTTACTCAGGGTGTGGATCTTATAGTATATACTTTCGTTATAAAAATAATAAAAAGATTGAAAGACATGAATAGAGCATTTTTAAGGCATAAATTGTAGATGTTGCATTGGCATACACTCATGGGTGCTTGAGATTAAATATGTATAGCTTTCTGTATGCCAATCCTAGTACAATAAAGTACTTAAAAATAGAAAAATAGCAGCAGTCTAAATGAAAATTACTCTATTTTCTTTATCATGTATTTGTGGAAGCTGAGGTCATAAGGACATATTTAAGAAAATGGAGAGATTGCCAGGCGTTGGTGGCTCATGCCTTTAATCCCAGCACTCAGGAGGCAGAGGCAGGTGGAAATCTATGAGTTCGAGGCCAGTCTGGTCTCCAGAGCGAGTGCCAGGATAAGCTCCAAAGCAACACAGAGAAACCCTGTCTCGAAAAACAACAACAACAACAAAAGAGAGTGGAGAGATTAATGCATAAAAGAGATATATTTTATTAGTAATTTAAGAAAGATTTATTTATTTCTATTTATGTGTGTGGATGTTTTGTCAACATGTATGCCGGTGCATTGTGTTCATGCAGTGCTCTCAAAGGCCAGTAGAGGGTGTCATATTCCCTGGAGCTAGAGTTCTAGGTAGTTGGAAACTGGTGAACCTGTATCTCTTAAAGGCTGAACCATCTCAGCAGTCCCTCTATTGGTAATCTTACTGTCCTCTTTAACACATAGCCTATACTTTCTACTCGTAGCAACTCTCACAAAGAACATAGGTTCAGACTGGACTAAGAAATAAAGTACCTGAGACATACAAAGCAACCATGCTGATATATTTATGATGACCTTCTTTTAAATTTCTTAAAGATGAACAAAGACAGTAAAGCACTGCCTTTTAAATGTATCATAATTAATAGTAGTACTATGATCAAATTTTGTAAATGTTTCATCTTTTAAGCAAAAATTTAGAAACTCTTTCAAAAAAAACCCTCAAAGCTTTACAGCTATATTACTCTAAAAAGACAGAGCTCTTCAAATAGTAAATATATCCATATACATTTTCAACAGCATTGAGTAATTGCTACTTAAGTTTTTCCTTTAGAATTTTGTCATAGAATCAATCCATAACCTCTAAGCCTGCTACTGCAGAATTGACTCATGTACCTTAATTTTCCACCCTACTGAAAATGTAAGCTTTTAGAGTATACTCTGAGGAGCAAGGAGTGTAATCCAGTCAGTACACCTTCACAGAAGCCCTAGTTTCTGAAGGAAGCCATCAAATTCTTTTCCAACAAAAGCTGTAGTTTGGGACCTGGAGAGATGGATCATTGGGAAAGTGCTCACTGTTAAAGCATGAGGACCTGAGTGTGGGTCTCCAGCATCCATGGAAAACTCTGGCCACTCAGCAAGTTCCAGATAGACCAAGACACTGGTCTCAATAATCAAAGTGAAAAGTGATTCATAAAGGTATGTGACATCAAGCCGGGCGTTGGTGGCACACGCCTTTAAGCCCAGCACTCGGAAGGCAGAGGCAGGCGGATCTCTGTGAGTTCAAGGCCAGCCTGGTCTCCAGAGCGAGTGCCAGGATAGGCTCTGAAGCTACACAGAGAAACCTTTTCTCGAAAAACCAAAAAAAAAAAAAGAAAAAAAAAGATATCTGACATCAACCTATGGCCTTCACACACACACACACACACACACACACACACACACACACACCATCTAGTTTTCTGGAGGCATTCAAACTCATCTACAAAAAAGGCAAGACTCTTTCAAAAATGGAGAATGGAGGCTGATTAATGGAATTTGAAATTTGAAGAACACCAAAGATCAGGTATCTCTTCTGTTGATGTACAAGCAAAAAGAGAGAGAAAGAAAAAGAAAATGGAGTCCAATCTTTCCAAATCAGTTTTTACACATTTATCTACTCTAACATTGGTTAGTCTTCGACGGAATTTGAAAGTTTATTCATCTTTTATCTACCTAGTATTTTTGCCATATTTTAAAGATGATTAAGTAGCACATATTTTACTCACCTAAAAGAGGAAGTAAAACTGGGTAGTTGTAAGGCATCACAAAGAGGTTTACACAAGTTAAAGTCGTACTAGCTTTTAAATAACCAAATGGATATCCAAGCTCATTGTATTTTCCACTGCTGGTGACAAACACCTAAGAAGAACATGAAGCAATGTACAGTTATGACAATATGCTATGTAAAGGCTAACTTGTAGCAACACTCCACAGCAGCATCTGTGGCAAACAATTCAAAAAATAGACTAGGTATTTTTGCATAGAGTTATGTAAAATTAATGTGCTAAATAGGCATATTCAAATTATAGATATTCCACAGTTATATTACAAATTAAACTAGATGATGCAATAACCACTCACTCAGAGGCCACATGAAACATCGGCAATACCCAGAAATGCACTTGGTTAGTATAATGGAAAATGATGCTGCAATCGTATTAAGCATGCCAGCTTCCCAAAAGAACAAGGCATTGTTACACTAGACTTAGAAAACTAGGAATATGGTTCCATAACTAAAACTATTTTAAAAGACTATGAAAATAGTCCTCACGCATACTATTAAGTCATGCTGTTTCCTCATTTATTCATTTTTCACTAAATAAATAATTACAGAGTATCCTATTAGGAGACAGAAACTTATTGTAACTTTCTGAGAAACTCAGGAACGTGGCAGCAAGGAGATGCTTTGCTTTAATTTGGAATGTGTTTTCTTGGTTACATAAACTTAAAAGACTAGAACCCTGGCTGTATTCACCTCACTGACTTCTGATTCTTTATTGGTACTCCTGAGTTGGTATGCATTATTTGTCAACTTCCATACACTTGCTATGCTGTGCTGGAGTTCTCCAGGCACCATGTTTTCTCTGTGTTCTTGTTCCTGCAACCCTCAGGAGGAAACATTCCTCTGATTTCTGACACACTAAGTTAATTTTAGCTGTCTGAATATAGAAAAGTACAAGATATAATACGTAATCTTTTTTGTTTGGCTTCTGTTCAATACTATAGTTTTGAAACGTTTTTAAGATTTTCTTTTCTTTTTGAATCAGGACTCTTCTGTATAACAGTCCTAGCTGTGCTGGAACATGGCCGTAGACCAGGCTGGCCTTGAACTCACAGAGATCTACCTGCCTCTGCCTTCTGAGGGCTGGGATTAAAGGAATATGCCACCAGCATCCTGTAGTTTTGAAACTGTGTTTCTTACATCTTTACATCTTTGAATCAAGCTTGCTCCTTTTCTTTTGAACAAGCCTTAGCATCTTGAGAGAATTAAAGTGGCTTATAGACACTGTGCATCAGTATTCTCACATTTTAGAATAAAATAGATGAGTGTCTGAAAGTGTTCCCTGTTTCAAAAGAACCCAGAAATTACTGGCTGGTATGTGGCCCTATAGTTCAGTAATAGAACAACTTTTTATGTGTTCCTATAGTTCAGTAATAAAACAACTTTTTTATATCCAAATAGAAAAAGCCATTACTGTCAAGTCTAGAATTTTACAAGTCAAATTCCATAGGCAACTATATTAAGCAATGAGCAATTCTTTCTAACTGCAGCACAGCACTTAGAAGAATTCAATCTCTGCACTTGCCTCATTTAAGTAAAATCACAGGCTACACATCACTGGGGCTTGGACCAAAGAAACTATAGCTTTATTGTATTATTCTCATATAGAAGGTAATTTCAGAGTTTCTGGTTCTTGGCCCCAAATATGCAGAACTTCTCGTTTGTCAAGGTCAAAATAAGAGCTCATACCTGCATTGAATTATACCCCATAGTTTAATGATCCTTAACCTGGGGAACAGATAAGAATGGGTCTCCCCTATCTTAAATCATCAAATGCATAGTTTCGTCAGATTCTACTTCCATAAATGGAAATGTATAGTACGTTAATGTTTCAAACCTTTCTAAAAATTATTTTCTTGGCTATGTTGTTAATTTGACAGCATTTAAAATAGTATAATTATTACCAAATTTGAAACATTTATCGAAGGGGTCTGTACCAGGTTGGAGAAACCCACAGGAACAGTTGGCCTGAACAAGGGAGAACACATCGACCCCAGACGCTATCTGGGGGGCTAGTTCAAGACTGATCCAGACCCCTGAACATGGATGTCAATAAGGAGGCCTCTGCACTCCAGGG